ATGTAACAATTTGTTAACCTTAACCCTAAAATTTGTTTAACCTTGTTTAAAATGCGTACCGACTTATTCTTGAAGCCTTCATTTATCACGCCAATCTTGTGTGAATTAATAACAGGATTTGAGCCTAAAATGTTTTTTTAACCTTGAGACGAAAATACCACTTATTACGTAAAATTTCGTGAAATATAGTTTTGGAATAAGAGAGAGCATAACATATAGGTGAATTTTATTTATTTTATTATATTACTAGCTGACCCGGCAAATTTGTAGATGTATGTATTTTTCAGTGCTCAATCATAAGAAAATAAAAATGAAAAAAATCGTCAAATAAAATATTTAGGGATGGGTCACCCTTATCAATTAGAGGTATGAAAAATAGATGTAGGCCGATTCTCAGTCCTACCTAATAGGCACACAAAATTTCGGAAAAATCGGTACCGCCGTTTCACAGGAGTTTGGTGACAAACAACGCGACACGAAAATTTTATATATTAGATACATAATCCAGATAACAGTGCCAGTGGCAGTTGGTTGTGTAAATGAATCTCATTATGCATCTGTCAAAAGAATTGACAGGGCGCGTTCTCTTTTATTTTTGAAACTTAGGATCAAAACCGTATCTGCATTCAACGTAATAAATTAAGTGATTTTTTTATTATTAAGTATACTCAACGTGGTGACGGATTACAATACGGAATGTCACCACCCCTATTCATCCCGTGGGTGTCGTAAGAGCCGACTAAGGAAGCAAACTACAGGACAACAGCACTGCAAAGAGAAGGAAAACTTGAAACAAACCCTATACCAACCCTGGCCTGGCCATCGTGGTATCATCATCATCATCATCATCAGCCTATCGCAGTCCACTGCTGGACATAGGCCTCTCCCATTGCACACCACTTAGATCGATTTTAGGCTTCTCGCATTCAGCTCCTGCCAGCCATCTTGCGCAAATCGTCACTCCACCTAGCCTGTGGGCGTCCTACACTACGTTTGCCGAGACGCGGTCTCCACTCAATAACTCGTTTCCCCAACGGTTGTCGGTTCTGCGGTTAATATGGCCAGCCCACCTTGTGACCTTGGTTCTCTGCCGGATCACCTCATTCCTGTTGCGATCTCTTTGAGAAACGCCGAGCATAGCCCTTTCCATAGCGTCGTGGTATAGTAGGCCAAAACCTCCTTTCTAAGGAGAGGTCTATGTCCAGCAGTGGACTATTATAGGCTGTTGATGTGATTGATGATACTCAAAAGCTTAGTTCACGTAAAGCTGCCTCAGAATTTTGTAAGTACTATTTACAGGTAATATTTCGCGATACGTAATCTAAGTTAGAGAAGTTGACAGATAAATGTATAGAAAAACACTCCACCGACTGTTTGCCTCCTTGATTTAAATCGTAAAAATTCATAAGGAATAGGTGTTATGTAGGGACATAACGACCGTTCCTTATGGAGGATCTTCCTCTTTTGTTGGCCCTCCAAGCGGAGGATTCTCCAAGCATGCGAGGTGGGCATCAATGATGGACCACAGCCCAACAGTTGTAGTCGGGAAATTATGTATCTACGAGTATGTACTAAATATCTTTCATTTCTTGAAGCAGGATGAGTAGTTACTGCGTAGTTTTTTTATGAAATAAATTTCATGGTATTGAAGTGTGCACCTTGTACATACTTTAATACCATGAAATTTAAGAAAACTTGGTGAACCTTATTAATTTCTTGTTCAAATCATCGCTCGCGGTGCTTCTAATTCCATTTATATGAACTAGACATTGAAATAAAATCATGAATTTTTCCATATGCATTTTGAGTACATTTCGCTTATAAATGTGAAAATTAATGGACTACAATTTCATATAGAAGAAATACAAAAGCTAGAATGTTCAACTAACATGTAAAAATCAAGACCTTTACAGATAGTTAAAACGTTCGAAATGTCAAAATGAAATGTTACCGAAAGTGTAATTCATGATAGTTCATGATTGCACGGATGGCTTAGTGGTTTAAGCGGTCGCCACGCCGCTTTCTACTACGCCGAGTGTTGTGGGTTCAAACCCCACATGTAACGACACTTTGTGTGATCCGCAAATTGTTGTTCAGAGTTCATCGTTTCATGTATGTTTGTAAAGTCCCCCGCGACACAGGACATATTCCTAACTAGCTAAGACCCGCGGTGTTACCCGCGTTTGGTGTTATAACCGCGGGCAACGCCGCGGGGCGAAGCTAGTCAAAAAAAGTAGCCTAAGTTACTCCTTATGTCATCAGCTATCTGCCAGTGAAAGTCCCGTGGAAATCGGTAAAGCCGTTCCAGAGATTACCCGGAACAAACAGACAGACAGACAGGCAAAAATTGTAAAAATGATATTTTGGCATAGGTATATACCGTGTAAACATACATATGCATTTAGTAAAAAGCGGTTATTTTAATATTACAAACAGACACTCCAATTTTATTTATTTGTATAGATGCGAGTGTTGCCTTTAAAAAAAAAGAAGAAGTTCAAGTTATACGAGTTAAAACACAATTAATATTGTTGAAACCTGGTACAACTGAATACCACCAGGAACTCTGTACTAAACTGTTTAATGTATATGTTATTGCAAAAAAATAACATAAAATGAAGAAATCACATTGATTAAAACTTTTTTTACACGGCATCGTACATATATATGTATGTGTATTCATAGTACGATTATTTCTCCTGAGGCAGTAATTGTGGCTTTCTTTATCGCAGTCGAAATCTCACGTGAAGCGGGTCACGTTAACTTACAAGTAATTATTGACTTTATGAAACATTTCATATGTATTTTGAATAATGGACAAGTCTAGAATATAGGGCACCAACGGTATTGCGTATATGATTTTTCTATAGTAAGAGTTAAAACGAATTAATGATATACAATACCAGTCAATGCCTGCGGATTCACTCGAATTTTTTTTTCACATACAACTGCTCATCCCTTACTTTACCCCCATAAGGGTAAAATCTCCAAAAATCCTTTCTTAGTGGGTGCTTACATTTCCAGTTTGTACCTCCAGCGGTTTAGGCTCTACGTTGATAAATCAGGAAGGGCAAGTAATTTTAAATGTACAGGTAATAAAAGATATTTTCGTAGGATATATTAGGCACATCATATTTTCACAGAGTTTATATTGGAACTACACCACAGTGATTTTCTTTTGCTGCTGGGTTGGATTCTTAAACCTCTATAATACAATTGAGTGCACTGATAGCGTAGTGGTTTAAGCGGTCGCCACGCCGCTTACTACTACGCCGAGTGTTGTGGGTTCAAACCATTGATTAGTCACCATCATCATCATTTATTTGGCATTCATCATGATAAAAGAAAATCTCATTTGAACATGTACTTAATATGTCTGGCCCTCATTTCAATACTCGACTGCACGGATGGCGTAGTGGTCACCACGCCGCTTCCGTCGCTGAGTGTTGTGGGTTCGAGCCCCACATGGGACGACACTTTGTGTGATCCACAAATTGTTGTTCCGAGTCTGGGTGTTCTTTGTGTCCGTTTCATGTATGTTTGTAAAGTCCCCCACGTCACAGGATATATTCCTTACGCGGAAGTTGTCTTTTAAAAAATGTATATATTTATGAAGAGATAGTGTCAAGGCAACGATAAATCAACCTCACTTAAAATCAGTCAAGATCTTACAGTACTTTACAGAGGCCATACACCATTAAGCTTTGAAACGAATTTTAAAAGTCTAGATAAAATCTGCATATTTATACTGTAAAGATGAGCTGAAACCATTACACGGAGCGGCAAACAATAACAAAAGGATTCTTAGAAGCTATATGCAAAAAAAAACCTCTTAAAATTAGCCGTCAGAGGCGAGTAAACGGATTAATTCAGTAACACTTAATGTAATAATAATCTGGTATAGACCTCGACCTGGTGAAGCCGTAACCCTGACCAGTATTCGCTAATAATACGTCACATGCATTATTATTGTATCGTTTGTGTGTTGTTATTATCTTCTACTGAGTGAAATATATCGTTTGAAATGGTTATAATAGGATCAGTGCTCTTTTCACCAGCGCTTCCAGCAGCAACTACAAATTGTAAAAAGCTGCATTCCTTTTTCATTATTTTTCTAAAAATAGAGGAGTAAATTCTTCTTATCTGAGAGTAAAGTTAATTATAACCAGTTCAGCTAAAAAGAGGATTATTCAGAAGCTCCTCCCTTTGGAGTTTATTGTTTAATATTGTGACGAAGTTATAGACGACAGAATGGCGTAGTGGTTTGTGTAACGGACTGCTATTCCAAAGGTCGCGGGTTCGATTCCCGCTCAAGTCAAACATTTGTGTGCATGAACTTTTAATGTTTGATTTGGTCTGGGTTTCTATGTATAATATGTATGTATTTACAAAACAAAAGTATATATGTGTTTATATTAGTTGTCTAGTACCCATAATACAAGCTCTGCTTAGTTTGTGACTAGATGGCGTTGTGTCAATGTGGTACAAGATTAAAGTCAAATATAGGACAAACGATTGCATTTTTGGTAATATTATTATATAAAGTAGAAAACATTAAAATGTATGTTTTGTTATGACTCATTCATTATCTTTATAGTGTTTTATGATAACCAGAAAGACTAGTCATTCATATAATTATCTAATTAAGTATGTGACGTGGGAGTAATGCCACTGAACGTCGGAAATCGCAGAATTCTTTGCCCGATTCGTGCACTATCCTTTAAACGAAACCAAAATGTTGACTCAAACTGTTACTATTTAGCCATTAGACACAGGACATATGATCATGCTCATCACACAATTGTCCTGAGTGAGTATCGAACCTACGATCTCTGACTCATCATCATCATCATCAACAGCCTTTAATAGTCCACTGCTAGGCATAAGCCTCTCCTGAGAAAGGAGGTTAGGACTCAGCAGTTAGGGTCACTTAACCACTAAACCAACAGGCCTGTCAAGCAATGTAGCATTTACTCGTATTAACAGAAAAGGTATCCGAGTTAGAATAAATTATCATCATCGTCTTCCCGACCTTTTGCCTGGTCTGTGGTCTTCGTAATGTGTCGCATTACAAACATTAAGGCTGGTTTCTTTTGGCCTGTCGAATGTCCCTTCACGACACTTGGGTCGGGTATCCGTATGTCTGTTCTGTGGTTGAAGAGGCCACTATTACAGGAATATCAACTGGATTATACAGTACTGTAAATATATAATACAACGTTATACAAAATGGATCAAAGTAGGGTCTAGATTACGTTGTGTCTAAAGTAAATGGTAGAAAATACTTCGACAGGGACACCAACCGTATTGAACGCATGTTAACTAACTAACACTAAACTAAACAAAAGGTAATAGATGACAAATACCTGGATGTAGCTGCAATGGTAATGTGTGGTATGACCAGTAGTAAAATACAGAAAAGATGCCGAAATGCGTGAAAGTGAAGAAGTAGGAAAATTATGGTAATAAGGTAGAATAAAATAAACCACATGGCATCGATCCCTAAAGTATTTGGGAAATGGGTAAGTAGATGATGATATCATGAAAACTAGTGCTACTTTATGATTTATCAGGCGCTAAAAGTTAAAAATATGGAGCGTAACCATTACTGGAGTTTTTTTTTTTGTAAAGGAAAGGAGGGGTTCAATTAAAAACGAAATGACATTCATTTATAACTTGAAGCAAAAATAGTTTTGTTAACAAACAAAACAAAACCAACAAGCGACTTTAAATGTAATTATAGGACAGAATCAACAAGTAGTTTATAATATCTACCCTGTTGTAAGCACTTGAAAATGTTAGAAGATATTATTAAGGGAACCTGCCCTTCTCGAGCTATTTCTAACACTTCCCTAATCCTTTCCCTTATAATAAACCTGCTGCTTTTCTTTAAGTTCTATTTGGACGGCATTAGACTAGTCCCCTATTACTTGACATAAATAAAAATTGGCCAACTAAGGGCATTTAATAAATCTTATTTATTTATTTATATCTTTATAATGTACACTTTAATAGAAAATAACAAAAGGTGAGTTACAAATAAGTAGACGTAATAATCGGCGGTCTTATCGCTCACAGCGATCTCTTCCAGACAACCTTAACACGGATTTTAGGTATTTAACAGTTTAGGGTAGTATACATACACGTAACACATAACACGTAACAATAAATCTTTGCCTTTGGGGATATAAACATAAATATGCATATGTGTGTTATAAGTACTAATAAATATATAAGGCTTTAACCTATCACAATGATATCCATGTAAAAGCCTTCACTATATCTAAAATAACTTTAAAAGAATTAGTCGTATACTGCACTATACTAGCAGTTAAGTTATGCTTTGTGATTTGTGAATGACTTTTTATACAGGGCGGTGTCCATTACAACGTAGCATTTAAACTGCACCATAAATCGATAGTTTTAGCTCACAACGGTGTGACGCATAGTCGGATATACTCGTATCAATTGCTTTTTACACGCTTTATATTAGCTTCACTTGTATGTTTGTAACAGACTCCTTTGGGCGTGATTTTGACTGACCTTAAACGGTCAGAATTCGTTCAAACTTTGTAGATATATCGAGGACCGATGACAATACACTAATTTAAAAAAAATATAGTTTTAAAAAACCTAACAACACGCTTTCTATAGAAAACCAAACTAAAAAATAGAAAATAAATTTGAAAAAAAACATGGGGTGCTTTTTACTATTGACAGCAGGCACCCAACTTAAATATTTTTTTGTAACTTCAGTTTATAAATTTACTATTAATCTTTTTAAGAAGCGCCTTCATGACTTTTTATTCAAGAAATGCTACTATGCGGTAAATGACTTTTTCTCAGGAAAATAAGAATATTTTTGTTTTACTATTCATTGTTATGATTTTGTATGATTGTTACTTAATTAAATTATTTATTCGTAAATTAAAGTATAATTGAAACATTTTGATATTTTATGTTGACAGTTTTATTTGATATGTAATTAATTATGTTCACATCAATCGACAATTCGTTTCTAAACAATTTTTGCATGCCGTTAAGGTAGACCAAAAAGGACAAGTATAAATAAAAATGTAACACCGTTGTACACCTTTGATCATCAAATAAATAAATTATGAATATGAATTGTAAGAATAATCATATTGATTATTCTATAGTGCTAACCAACAGTTTAGTAGGACCATAGTTCAAAGAATTACCCAGCAACGGTAAGATAAGTTGAATATCACTGAGTTTATTTGGAAGGAATATACACTGTCAAGTACCTTCCGACATATCTGTAAACTTGCCCAGTATCGGACTGTCTGTAATTCTTCAGGCTTTCAAAAAATAAAAGTTGTTAAAATAATCATTTAGCCAGAAAGAGTATATATATATATATATAATATAATTATACATACACACACATATACATACAAATACATAAATATTTTATATACAATATAAGTATAAACAATTTATATTGATTACCATGAAATCATTAGTCATGTACAGTTTTTGAAAGCAAAGAGTACTATGAACTATGAACCTAAATAGTGATCTTTGCCCATATTTTTAAATGCTGTCGGTGTTTGGACACGTTCCACAATCTGACAGCCCGCACCGTGAAACATTTGTCATAGAATATGGTAGTGTTGCTAGGTACCATTAGCTCCAAAGATTCCGACGACCTTAAGGATCTCAGATGTGTGTCACTAAGGAACACAAAGTATAGACCTACATTGTGATATACCTTTGAAAATCTATAGGGTGTGTCAGTATATATATGTATAAGGATATAGGGTATGCCAGTATATAGCCGTCACCAGCGACTCATAAAATAAATGAACCTACTGAGTCTCTACCTTAATTGGTGAAAACGATTGCTAATGGAAACAATACTAAAATAGGTTTATCAACGATAAGAAAATATTCTTTGCTAGGTTATCAAACATACCATTTAGAGCAACGGTATTGGAAATATTGAACAGTATATTCTTGAAATCACGAAAATCTAGTTTGGCCACATTGTGAATTGGAATTCCTTCTTAGATGCTTACTTTAGCAAATGACTAACTCAGCTTTTAATCTCGAGATCTATCCAAAGTTACAAAAAGATTTTGCCCTCCTTGAAGAATAATAATGCAGTCACTTGGGGGAATTATCAACACTCATATTGTAAGATTTCATTTTACAATAGTTGTGTCAATGGAAGGTATTTCCTATAAACTACAAACATGAGAACTTTCTGATGCTAAGCATCAGGAACACCCCCTTTTTTCTGTGCGGAAATCCCCTGGGTACCACCTACCGGTGGGATGGTTAGTCCATGATGATGATGGTGGTATCAGTAGCCGGGAAACCAGGTGTACCCTAGAAAGGAAATGCCCGGTACCCCGACGTACCTCGAGCCATCTACGGCCATGAGGAATACCACTGAAATATAAACGCATAAATAGAACACGTAGCCTTGATTAATTACTAAACAATTAATCTTTTCCAAAGACTAATACACGAACGATTTTTAGCAATTAGTTCTGTTTATTATTTTTATTGTCATCAATGTGTTATTATTTTTAATGTATTTAAATCACTCACCAACCCATATCCCACGATGAATGAAAAGCAGGATGAGCCGACATGGCGCCCAGGGGTACTCCAAAGCCGAACTCGAACTTGACATCGTCTCGGCGAGGCCACGACGACTTGGCCGCGGACTCACGAGTCTCAGACCCAGACATATCGTTGGTCATTTTAGATTTTTTTAACTATAGACCTTGATAAAACGTTTTATTACTTAGTTCGATTACAATTTTCAATTACGGTAAATTTCGTTCTGGAGTAAAAAAATTAAGAGTTATACTTAAATTAGAATGAAAAATAATAAAAAATAAAAATAAATGACTTACTACAAAAATGTCTTTAATCTATTTTTTTTATAGTTCAACACAAAACCAATTTTGATACTTTCCCTACAACTGAAGATAAAAAAGTTTCGAAAAGATTTGCATTTACATCGCAAACCCGGGTGTTAAAAACATTACAAGAAATCGCTACAAGCGCAACCGTAGCCGTGTCCCAGCTACGCGGCTACAACGCTACGACCACACGCTACGGTGACCACGGCGTGACTGGCTGTCGGCCGATGACCGCAGACTTAAACTCGACGCCTCATTAATTTTTCATTAATGTCCCAAATCCTTTGTTGTGACTCAAAAATACTATTTCGGATTGTCTATGGAACATTCCTTTGACCTAAAGAATTTAATCGTAGATTTGTTCCTAATTTATGGTTTCTAGTAATTTGTCGATGGCCTCAATAATATAAGTTAATGTGAAGTGTACCATTTTCACTCATAATTTCTGTACACGGTCGTAATACCAATAACAAAAAACTGTATAAGTACGCTTATCTTATATAAATTTAAGTAACGGCTGTATTTATCTCTTTTAACCATTCGTTTTATATGACTATTTGCTACCTTAACAATTCGAAATAAAGGCAAATTACTAAATTCAATTTCGTTGATATCATCAGTTGTCAAAACATAAATTAAAGTGAACGATTTGACGAGAACACATAATGTCGAATAATAAATTTTCTGCAAACCTTCCTACAGGGTTGGCCTTTTTTATTTTATATGAGTAAACGAGCAGACGGGTCACGTGATGGTAAGCGACTACCCACGCCCATGGACACCTTTTTTTTCCTGTACGAACTTTCCTCCGACCACTCGGTAGTTAAGTCGAACTCAAAACGACCAAAAACCGCACGCCGTCTCTAGGTATCAGTAGCCGGGTAAGCCCTACACACAGGGTACACCTGTAATTCAAGAGCCAACACGGCGTTTCTAACTTTTAAGGCCGTCTCCCTTACCCAAGAATTAGCGTTAGTCCTCCGAAGTAATCTCACTTACTCTGTGAGGCCGTGGCATCACTCCGGTTCAGTTGACCCGTTTATGGGGAAGCATGGCTCTTCCACGGATAATACGTCAAAGACGTCGTTAATTTGTAAAATATTAAAAAAAATTGCGTAAGTATTATAACAAATAATCAAAGGTCAGCCACATATCCAGGGAATCGACAGATTTTAAAAATACCTTAATATATTTATGTCGATGCTTTTTTTGGAACCAACAGTAAAACCAAAAACATTTACCAAAAGTATATTAAGGCGACATCAAAAGTTACAAATACATCTAAAATAAACACATACATACAGCTAAAAATACAAACAAAACAATACAACTAATACAGAAGACAGGCAGGGACGAGTGGCTCGACCAGCCGCCTTTGAAAGCAAGCCGCTCTGATAATCTCTCAAATAAGGCATGTATTGCAACACCATATTATACATAGAAGCTTTATCAAGGTTTTTGTTTTTAGGTAATTCTTCAGGCGTTTTATCCCCTGCGAGTGGTGCTCTCTGTTGTTCTTCTCTGAGCTCTCGCCGAACCTATAACACAATAGCATCGTTAAATAGAGATTGAGCATATTTTTAATTGATAAACCTCGCAAGTGGAATATTGTTAACTGGAATAACTAATACCTTACCTTAAGAGTACTCTGAGGCCTTCGACGACCTGCCTACACAGAATTAGACTTTGCGAAAAAAGTTATAACTTCAAAAAGCTCCTGGTAACAGCAAAAATACAGAGAAGTACCCAAATGAAAGGTAAAGAGATAAAGGATCTGTGACATCGCTAATGAAAGTACTCCTGAGGACCGCAATAAGTAAAGAGCGAGTTCTAGAGGTCGCAACCCTCAGTAGTGAGGAAAATGACACAAGGAGGAGGAAGAATGCATGCTAGCAAAAGTTGGGTACCTCTGCCAGAAAAGTGAAGAATGTAGAATAAATGCTACTAAGATAATATTACTGCTAATACGAGCAGAAGCGATGTTTAAGAGCAGTGTGCTGGTTATGAGAATCGAAAATGATAAGCGGAGGTAGTATGGACTCGTGAAATAATGACTGCTAAATGCAACAGACATACAAGTTTAACGTTAGAGGCGGCTGGTTAGGTGATCAAATCGGGTAAGTTCTACAGAAAGGGCAGGTCAAAATACTTAGTAATAAAGGCGAGTTTATTTGAAAGGTTAGTGACAATAGAGGAATCTCGTTTGTGAGGTATTAAAGTATAGAAGTAAGTCACGTGTTTAGGTTTTGCGGATCCCTAAAGGAGTTAGACCTATAATTATTCATATGTGTTATAAGCAGAAAAGAGTTTACTATTCGAAAAAAAATATTAGTTTCAGAGATGACGAGCGATAAAACAAAAGAATTAAGTTCACGTTTCACAAGATGTAAAAAAGCGTCTATTGTTTAATTTTTATTTGTCCTGTATGTAGTATGTAATCTTTATAAATTAGATAGAACTAAAGAAATACCGCTCTTAAATTGTACTCTTAATAAATATTTGATATGCAGTTGTACAAACGACACCGACAAGATAGGTAGCTTCAACCCTTGATAATAGGCCTCAACCGTGCCCCAAAACTATTCGAAAATTCAAAAGTTTACAATAAACAGTATATTTTTTATAAACAATGCAAAACTACTAAATCACTTTGCACTACCTTCCCTGGCGCTTCCACGATGCGCTCCGTTGACATGTCACGCTCTATAACCTCTAAAGCCTCCTGAAGTTCCAAAACGGTTTCCTCTGTGGACAAATGTTTATACCTCAATATGCATCGTGCTTTATATTACCAGAAGACTTGTTGTGCAGCACACTCAGAAATATATTGATTGGTTGGTTTAGTGAGGTGGTATTGGTATTGGTTGTGGGCTTCGGTTTCCGCATTTAGACTAGTATTTAGTGGTCTTTCATGTGTCGAGGACTGGTTAGCTAGGTGAGCCAACCAACTTCCTAATATATTGATTGATTAAGTCATCAGTATATCTTTTGTAACATTGGAATAAAATATTTTTCGTGAATAGTATTTATAAATAACTTCGGTACCCGGCATGTTTTGCTATGATACGTAAAATATAAAGAAACAAAGAGTATTAAGATTTGTTTTAGTAATATATAAATTTTTTGTACTAGATACCCTCGTAGGCGTCCCCAGAACACACTAGTAAAGTGTCATCACAACCTGATATTTTTATTAATTTAAACGATTTTACTCACGGGTATATTTTGGGGATGCCGACTAGTTTTTTTAGTTTTATCAATGGGTGGTTCGACATTCCTCGTCGGTGTCAGACGCTGCAGTCTTGAATCAGTAACTGACACCGACCCGAAATGTTTTTAAATGGAAAAACTGTTTTCTTTGTGGTATAAAAGGCAAACGAGTAGACAGGTCACCAGAGGGTCTGGTGTAAGGTTATTTCACCTCTACTCGACCGCCACAGTAACCATTTTCGACGGTGTCATTGGCCCGGACTAAACTCTTCATCAGTGACGACGCCGAACGCGGTCACCGTAAAACAGGGAAATCATTGCTACTTTTAATTCATATTCATTTGATAAAGTGATTGGTTTTGGTCACAGTGATTTCACATGTGATTCTGATTCATGGACAAAGATAAAGATCATTTAAATCAATCAAAATTCTTTTTAACAAAGATTGCGATCTTTTCTTTTTTAGATTTAGACCTTTCGCGAGTCTTGCGCTAGCATAATAATAATAATTAAGTAGCAGTGTCTTTATAGACTAGGGAGCTTGGGCTTCGGAAACCTCACCCACTCGGTAAAAATCAAAAATTGTTTAACACTGGTTTTCCACTTTTGTTGGTTACTTAAAATTTTGTACTTTATACCTTAATATTACAGCTATAAAGTTCCTATTTTACCCTCCTAATAGGTACTTTAGTTTCGAAAGTTTAATACATTGGTTATCTCAAGATATTTCTGCTGTTAACAATACGAATATGTTATATCTTCTTAGTGGACGATTGTCTGAGAACACTGTCAATGCACTTTCAAAGAACTTACGGTCGGAAAGATAATTTAAAGCGTTGTCTGGTCCCAATGATTCATTCGTCACCAATCCTGGAATTTGTGTGTCATTGACCTTGGTCTCCGGATTATTGTTGAAACTCAGATTATCTGTGGTTAAGCTGTTTCTTTCCGTTAATCCTTCATAAATCACACTGGACTTAACATGCGCCTCAATAAGACTCACACGGGCAGCTTCTGTGATGATTTGATCTGTATAACTATCTGCAATATTTTTGTTGATTAATTTCACTTCACTTCACACAACAACACTTCAACACTATTATACACACCAGGATCATGTATTTTACTTGTACTTTCAACAGCATTTGCGAAAGTTACATTTTCTTCTCTATTTACGACTGTTGAATTTTCTTCCATCGTTTCTACAAACTCATATTCAGCATAAAAATCCTTTTCGCTCTTAGTCGTGTCCTCATTGGGTGTATAATCTGCAAATACAGGACGTCACTTAAGTAATTGTTGATTATATTTTTGTTACTCTTGTTTAAAATCAACTTACTTTCAGTCATTAAATCCATGTCCGTCAGTTCTTCCATGTTATAAGGCTTTGGTCTTCCAATCAAACTTATTTTTTTCTTCGCACTTGTAATAGGGATTGGGACAGTTGAAGGAGAAGTATTCATGTCTAATGGAATTACTGCGAGGGATCCTGACACATTGCTGGAAGTACTAGTATCTTCTATTACATCTCTTTTTTGCACAGAATTGTAATATTCTTCTGTTGATGCAATATTGTCCATTGTTGCTATTGCTAGTCTGGTCAAGTAAAGCTCGTCTAGACTTCCTGGATACCTCAAGGAAGCATTGCGTTCTATATCCAGAACAGTATGTAGGAGAAAATGTTCTTCTAGAGTCATAGATGCATCTACTTCTTGTATTTCATTTGATTCTATTTCTGAAAGGGTAATAAACTTTTTTCTTCAGTTACATGTTTTTATTATTACTACTGTTACTGAAATAATATTAAGTCAAACAAGTATAATATATTCAATTGATGACAATTCTGTTTTTCTAATTACCTAGTTAGCAAACACGGCCTACATTTAGCTATCAGTACAACATCTAGACTTCCAACAACTTAAACTATCACTGAAAAATTTCCAACTCTGAATGATTGCTATAGAACATTATTTATTCTTTGTTGTTGCGTGGTACCGCATTTTAGCTGTCTTTTCAATATGAAAATGAAAATTGTTGTATTCAAATTATCCAGGGGTGGGGACCTAGTGATCTGTAGGACAGGCTTATGCCTATGTCAGACACCAGTTCCTCACATATACAGAAATTTATGTAACCACAACCCTAAATAGAATTGTACCATGAACTTAAAATGTATATTGTGAGGAGAAATAAACTTTATTATTTATTATTCACTTACGAATTTAATATATCAAAGCTAAGTATTCCTATACTAACGTATATCACAAAGGGCCTCAAGTGATGCGTCACGCGAAGACCGCGGTGGACAAAGGGTGGCCGGTGCGGAAGGTGACCACAATGAACGTCCAGGTGGCGGTCCTCGCGGCGCTACGTTGCACACCAACCGTTCTACACTACGGAGACGCCCTCGCCACTCCGTCTGGCAAAATAATGTAAACTTATTATTCACGTAATATTTAAGAATTCGTCATCCTCCAGGAACCGATCGAGAAACTCCTTACTTAGCGTGTAGTTCCTCTCAGCTTCCTTTCCTTCGCTAAAAATGTAGGTAATTATATTGGTTTACTATATACGAAGGATATTTTTTGCATACCGGGTACTAACTCATACATCTTAAGGGAAATTGTATTTTTTTTTATTATTTTATGATATATTTTTTAAGTTATAGTTTCAGGTATTAATTACCATAAATCGACTTCGACCACAGCCAACCATGTAACTCTGCGCCCACATCATTTGACCAAAGTCACCATAGAAGCTGCTATCGAGATTTGGGCTGCAATTAAAAAAAAAATGATATTACCTTCACTTATAATAAGAAATACACTTGATAAAAATATTGCTATAAATTCTATTTTTACACATCGAACATACACATACATAATGTTATCTAACGAGGCTGAGTTAAGACAAGTTCTTTTATAGCTACTGATTTTGCACATGCACAGCAAAATGGTCATCTAAAACGATCTTAACAAGCATCGTTGTTGTATGTTGAAAGGAAATCAAGCCCCACCACACATTTATACACAAATCATTCTTTGCGATAGATAAAATCGACTAGAGAATAATCTCTGTTTACCGAGAATATTAAAGAATATCGAAATAATGAAAATAGACATCAGAAGTTCAAAAAGAAGAATCAGAAGTCGATTGAATGCAGTATGTGGAAATCTTGATATGCTAACCAGCTATTATGTAAGTGTAATACTCGTAATATAAAATAATGCACTTTACACTTAAACACACCATTTCTGTAATACTTACGGAATATAATTGGTAGCATTGCCTTTATATAATATATTCTGCATGTACCATATGTCGATCATTGACTCCACACGGAGTCCAGGCGCCTCGCCTATCACTGACGCTACACACTGACCCACTGGCACTGAATCTAAAGGTTGAATAAACATAAATAAATATTTTGACGAATACTCCACATAAAATATTTAGAAAAAAGTCCATATTATATATATTTGGATTATATTTTGGCAACAGAAAGGCTTCGGAGAGAAAATTTAGGCAGAGCTCTTCCCGATTGCGAACATATTTAAAAAATACATGGATTTTGGAATTCTTTTTATTTCTCACCAGACAGTACTAATGGAAAAGAAAGAAAGAAAAAATATGATAAGAAAATAACTTACACAGGTCGCGACATAAGTCGCGTTCCTCAGGAACTACAGGTGGTCGACACTGATCCGCCCAGCGTTGGGCTTCACGGGCTAACTCTTCCACCCAACGCTGAGATTAGATGAAATTATTAAATGTCTAATAATGAACTATACAAATGTGTGCTTCTTAAGAGGAGTGCCAGCGGTGCGCAGACCCTGGGGGGGGGGGGCGCAGAAATAACCTAACCAGCGTAGAACGGAGTTAAAAATTATTATCGATGCACCGATTGCACCGGACGCATGAAAACTTAGTTATGACTCGGCAAGGAAACACTGCCCATCTTTGTATTCTTAAATATAAGTCTTCTGTGCGTGTGTATGTGACTGAACTCCTTCTAAACGGCTGGACCGATTTTGATGATTTTTTGTGTTCAGGCGGATTTGAGATTGGTTTAAATTCACAATTCACTCCACAACAAAATGGACGTGTGTACAGGACAACGTCTGTCGGGTCGGCTAGTTAAGTAATAAACATCGACAACTATAATACACACAATAGGAAACGTTCGAGCAACAATATTTTTTAAACCAATTGTCATAGAATCGAGTTTTTAGTATCATTATTTAGGTAAGCTTACCATCTGTGAGACACGTGCATCATAAGAGATAGTTCACAGGGGTATTTTTTGTAATGGCCTTGAAATACTAAAAAACAATGTTAATTTTGACGTAAAGTTGATCTTTTAACATCCATTTTAATATGATAGAGCAATTATTAAAAATTATTTGAGTTATTTATCTAATTGCTAATACTTCCGTTATGGGAAGTTTTTGTTTTACGATAATCGGACATTAAACTCCAAAGTTACATAAGTTTTAGTATGGACGCTACGAAAAAGTCAACCAAAGTACAAAAATGGCTGCCATTCAGAGGCCGTTGGGTTTAGACCCCACCTGTAGAATGATTTTAGTGATAAAATAGAGCAAACTATCACCCCCTAAAGTGTGTACAGTCCGAACCCAGACACATTGTATAAGAGGGAACAGACAAGCAGACGGGTCACCTGATGGAACGTACCTACTGCCGCCCATGAACGCCTGCAACTCAGCAGTCACAAACGCGTTGCGTACACCGATTTTTTGTAAGACCGTGGTATCACTCGAGTCCAGCCGACCGATTTAAGGTTAAGCATAGCTCTTCCACAACCACGACTATGTCTAAATGTTCATTTTAGGGTTCGTACCAACTTTAGCATGTTTCCAGCACTGGCTAAACCTCGCAGCCGTCCAGCAGCTGCCTCATTCCGTCGTCGATTCAACCGTGCGATAACTCGTGCCTTCTCTTCGTCTGTCAGATTAGCACTTATGTAACCAACGCATTGAGGACTTGGCCCTTCCTAGAATATCAATCAGGTGTCACATTACTGTTATTCTTATTATTAATAAATAGCCTGTTTGAATAAAGACTTAATTACAGAATGAGCACTCATAGGCTAGAGTTATAGAACTATTTCGCTCAACTTTAAACAGGTTATCTCATATATAGAAGAAGAATGCCCACGCTAAACTCTCTAAACTAAGCTAAAAAGACAACTCCCGCACGAAGAATAAATCCTATATCCTATAATATCCTATAAAGACTTTACAAACATATATGAAACGGACACAAAGGACATCCAGACTCAGAACAACAATTTATGGCTCACACAAAGTGTTGTCCCATGTAGGGATCGAACCCACAACACTCAGCGCAGTTGGAAGCGGCGAGGCGACCGCTTAAACCACTACACCATCCGTGAAGTCGTGAGTTAACACAGTAAGTTGTAGAAGAGAAAATACAAACACAAACACACTACAATCTCACCCATTAACTATACACACACATATTCTTAAGCTCCTTCCACTATACTTTGTGGAGAGACTTGCAATCTGTAATACAGGTCTCCTAGTGCAGATACCAGTCTTCCACACAAGATTATTTATAAATGTTTTACATTTGCCGTACTAATTTTTTATTAACTACATTTGTAAACTGTGTGTTAGAAAACATTAAAGTTATTTGTATATATACTTACAGGATACTGACAAAATGTGTGAGCATTAGTGTTACCACACATTCTGGAGCCACAATAATTGATAGAAGATTCGGTAACCGCAATCGTGAACGAAGTAGAGAGACACACCACGACGAGTGCAGTGCCCTGCATTTTTCTAATATTACCGCTGAATTTGATTCATATTTTAGTTTTTTGGAGAACGTGATTGTTCCGAGACCGTACAATTTTGATGACACTTTATAGACTGATATTTATGATCTATGATGTCTTAGAAAAGATTTTAACTCAAAGGTTTAATGGTTTACTGACCTCTAGTTTAGTAATGATTTGCATAAAAACGGATTTTAATGCCTTTTTCACTAATAGAGAGAGTAATTCAAGAGGAAGGTTTATATGTATAATACATGCATATTATAGTAGAGAAAATTCAAGAATTTCAAAGATTATCTTAAAAAATATGTTTTTGTGCGCTTATATTACAAACGCCAACTAAACCTTACGAGATAGATGAGAATAATGTACTATGGAAATGTATATCTTAAAAAGATCTACAAAAATAACCCACATACACACATATAACCCACAGTAACCATTTTTATCTTTTTACATTTTACAAAAAAAAAATTGATAATTTACGAAGCTTTTTTGAACAATACAGTATTATTACTTATCCAAATAAATATATTTGATACATTGTGCATTTAATGTAGATCAAAATTGCCTTTTACAGCATATCATTAAAGTAAATTTCTCAGTAGATATCAGAGATTTAAAATGCGGGGGTAACGCGCCCGTCCGTCGCCGTCACTGCGTCGTGCCGTGCGTCCGTCCCGGGTGGCAAACGCCCTAAAAGGATCGGAGCGGGTCTTATAATATTGCATATAAATATGTCCTGTAGTATAGTCCTATCATAATAATAGTACAATTAATTACTCCACACTGACACCATATGTAATCCTTCCTAGTGTAATTTTGTTATTCTAATGATGACAAGAATTGGAGAAAGGAATTTCTAAGATCAATATATTTTGTTTTGTCAAACTGGACCCCCCGTTTCTGTTTTTTTAACTATACTGTATATTATATTGTTGATTTTTTATCTCTCTTCACTTTTTTCAAATGTGATTTGCTAGTTATTCAGAAAGGGGTACCAAGAATTTTCTTCTCGTATTTATACGTCATAGATTCGCTGCAAGTGACATATATGAAAATCAATAAAAAACCATGAACTATAAAATCATTTTTAATCAGGATACCATAAAACTAATATACAATCATCATCTAAACAGAACGTTTGTGAACATAATGTTAGTATCACATAAAAATTTACATAAAATATTGTGATAGCATTCCTTTTTCTACATTGTGTACTTTATAAGCACAATAAATAACATCAATTATGGCAATCACTTAATTTATGGTACGATACTTAAAGTCGCTCCATAGAGTAACATTTTTTTTTTTGTATTTTTATGGCTTGGTAACAACCATAGAGTAACAATGACATCTTCAGTGTTGCCATATAGTGACTTTTTACAACATTTTAGCAGTTTTTTTTTTACTTGTAACATAATTTGTTTCTGTTATGAACCGAATTACTGTAAATCTATTACACATTTCGATATTTATATGAGTGTAAATAAAACTTCGTTATAAATGACTTCAAAGGCGGCAACGTACATGTGACTGAGTTGCAAGTGTCCTTCCATGGGCGGCTTGTCACTACTAACGCCGCCCATGGAAAAGAACAGAACAGAACAGACGGGTTACCTGTTGGTAAGTGTACCATCAGGCTATCCGTCTGTTCTTTCCTATAATATAAAAAAAAAAAAACTTAAGTACATGGCATATTCTATATATGTATGACTTGTTTATATGTATCACACTATACATAAGTACCGTATTTATTTCTTAGAATTTAATAAAACCGTGCGAGTCTTACACAGTTCTACATAATGTGTAACATCTGACATCTCACTAACCATCTGATGGCCAACTCCAACGCCAAGCGCTCTTTCGTCAAATCAAATTAGCGTGCGCTTCCCCGGCTTCTTGTTACACACTTCCGTCCCTTTTAACGAAAACACTACAGAGAGCCTAGTGTGACTTTATTTCACAACTACTCGATCGTCACGTCCCGCACTCAACTCTTCACTACCGAAAATACCTGTTATGACAGTTGCGTGATCGAGAGTTGATCGGAACTGAATTTTGACCGGACTTTTATTAAGAGAATTGGTTATTAATGTTACACATCAAAAATATTGTGTTTAGTAACCTCTGCCACAAGGTAGTCATTTTAAATACGTAAATAACCACGTAAGGTTGGGAAAATGTCGTAAGGTTCGTTACGACTGTAACTAAACGTTTCTTTTGGCATTTAACTTATTAACGTTTAACAACTATAACGCTATACAGTGGAAGAAATATTTATAACTTATTTCCATTAAGAATTTGATAAAAAATAAGACTAGATATATTTTTGTAGATTATTAATTTTTACATTTTTTGTTTACGTTGCCTTAGATTATAGATGTCTAGAAAGAATGTCAAAGCTGTGAAAGCATCGAAAGAAATAGTGTCCAACTGTTGGCCGCCAATTTCTTTTCCACTGTCGGTGTGTGTGTCAGCAGTGTAGTCGCAAAACTACAAACTTGCAGGCACGCCAATAAAATAAAGATAGCCGATTTGTTATAGTTATTTTTCAGCCCAACACTCCATCTAGACGTTTAATGATCTAAGCTCGTCATTATAGAAATAATGAAAAAAAAATAAGAATTGTCCAATTCAAACCGAAAGCTCATTATTTTTAGACAGTAAGAATTTAAACCTGAGCTAGAACGATTTTAACTTTTTAGAACAATTTACAACAGAATTAAAGCCAATAAATAATATGTTTCTTGAAAACAAAACATTACTAAATCAAATAATTTCAACGCAATGTATATTTTTATCTAAACTATACAGATGCCCATAAATCCATATCAATTCTTAAATAAAAAACGAGCGAACCTTACAGTAGGCGCATATGATGTGTCACATCTGACCTACCATGTGACGGCCAACTTTAACCACGAGCACGTTCATTGGTCAAATCAAATAGCGAACGTTTCCTCCACTTCCTATTACTCATTTCCGTCCCTTTTCATAAAATAATAACAATCATAAAAACTAGAGGAAAGATGTTACACATCAAAAATAACATGTTATCATAATAAATTACCATTTACCGTGAATATTTTATAGTTGGCAACATTGAATGATACGTCATATGTATATTTACTTATTTGATGATTCATTTTCTTCTGTAGTCTCTGGTAAATAATACATTGAGTCTATGAAGTACTTTGTAATGTCAGAGACTAGACTTCTGTCGGAGATTTCTTGAGCAACGCCATATATCGCCATCTGCAATATTATAACTACTTTTTAGTGTTTGAATCAATTTTATCCTTTCTAAGGGATGAAAAACGAATTACATTATGTTTAAATATCACTTTGAAGCGTTCTATAACATAATACATATTTAATGTATCTTAAATGAAACAAATAAATAACATATATCCCTTGAATTTAATGTGATGTATGACATGATTTTTGTATAAATGGCTTGATGTTAGAAAGCATGAACTAATAATTATCTAATTCATATCTTTTGATGGAATCTATTTTTCTTCGACATCGACAAAAGAGGTTCTTTACCGATATCTTATGATCGTTTGTTTGTTGACCTGTTTTTTTTTTTGGAGTTTACTCCTTAAGAATCGATTTTCATATAAGGCCGGCCAGGTATTAAAAATATGAAGAGTAAAATTTAGTGATCGAATGACCTGGTTACGTTTTTTGTGCATCTATCGTTCCTTTCACATGTGTGTGTATAACTTGTATACTTGCGTGCAACCGAATCGTTCTTAAGGAGTAAACTCCAGTCGTGCCTCGGAGCCGACAAACACTTTTTTGTTAAATATTTTTATTGAGTAAATATTCCATTCAATCTTAAGTCGAATCTTTTAATTTGATATCTGGTGAAACGCTTTTTAAATATAGCATTGCATGCAGCGCGTCCAGTAACAGTGAACAATAGTAGAAGTAGGACCTTGCGTACCTTCCCATGCACGGGCGAGGTGTTGTCCTTGAGGCAGGTGGCGGCGACGGCCCGCACGTCGCCCACGAAGCGCTCCGCCAGACCCGGGGTCGTGTGCGCGTGCGTCACGCACATGTGGATCCTGGGGGCGAGAGGGGGGGTGGTTATACTTTATTTCACTTCAACCGTAGACAGCCCATTGACTTGCCTCTTAATAAAATAGGTCTTTTAAATTACTTTAAGTTGCTTTTAAGTATTCTTTCTTTTATAGCATACATGACAATAGTCAAAGGTTAAAACTCACCCAGACGGAAACTGCAAAGCGTTTAACGACCATCCCTTCTTGTGTAACAGGTCGGCCATCTTGAATATGTCAAACGAGTTAGAGCCCCAGGCGATCACTGATGTCGCAGGCTTACCGAACACGAATATCCCATCTATCTTGCGAAGTCTGAAATGATTGTATTCTTGATACATTACAGGTAATGATTAAATGATCCAAGAAATAGCACAACTATTATAATTTGTCTTTAAAAAAAAAGCTTTACACATTTGAGCCTGTGCTATGGTAACCAAACTGCTGGTAAACATACTTAACACACACATACACACAGACACACACAGATACATACACACACACACATACACACTCGCACGCACCCATACGTACACATAAAATAACCAACCAACCTGTACAATAGATCTCAACACAATCTGCTCTATATTGTAAAAGAAAAAGAAATAGATACTAATCGGTCGGACCCACAACACTCAGCGTAGTAGTAAGCGGTGTGGCGACCGCTTAAACCACTACGCCATCCGAGCAGTATTTTATTATTATTAATTAATTATTTCTAAATACATTTACGAGTATATTATAGATAAACAAAACTTGTCTTGTCTGGGAATCGAAGCTGGCTTAGCAGTCACAGTTAAAAGTTTTTTTCATTTTGTCAATTTATTAACCCCGGGAATAAATTATGTCTGTGCTAACCTCTCCATTAATTACGAAAGTACAATTGTCTTGTGGTGGAGATCTAAATTTTTACAATGAAGGTAGACACAATATTAAAGTGTATACTGACTGTTCCTCGATGTATCTGGCCGTGCGGATGATCTCGGCCGTCATGCTGACGTAGCGCGCGCGCCCCACGAACACGAGCGTGGCCCAGCACGCCGCTATCAGCCCTCCCGCACGACTGCCTGCAAATTACACGCCTTACTACAACTCTCTTCCTTATACATGAAACTCAATGATTTCCTTTAGGAGGAAACTTGCTCTTCACGAAACGAACGAAACTTCTGTTTCACGTGAGAAAGATCTAAAATTGAAAGAATTTGTGGTGACATACAGTTGCTCTGCGCATTACAACGGACAGTTGCTATGGGATGTTTGAAAAGAAAAGACGGAAATTTTGACGACTAGCTATTATGTTATTTATTTGAGGAAATATATTATTTTAAAGTAATTAATTATTATTCATTATTATTGCTAATTATGGGATAGTCACATACCCCCCTAAATTAAAAAGAGAAAGGCCTATATATGTAAGAAATTTGTTTTTTGAAGTTCGTTAGGACAATAGTGTAAGGGTTGCCCAGGAGTATTAACGTGGTTTGCATTATTAAAATGATTGACGAGTAGTGTACGTTATGTGTAGTCAGCATTATACTTTGAGTCAGTTTCATCTACAGTTTATTAAATTAATATGTTCAGAGTTAATCTGTTCATAATGAAATATATAAGTGCATTGATTTCGAATTTCAATAAAACAAGCGTGTTTTACAGTAGTAACATCTGACATTATTTATTTTATTTAAAGCATTTACTGTGTCTTTACAGGATCTTTATCCCAAAACGATACTATAAGTAAAAACGAGTAACAATTATTTTATAAAGACAAATCATTTGCTATAATACACCTTTGGGCAACTTCTTTAAACTTCGGCAGGCTACAGTTGTAGATATCTACATGTATTGAAATAATATTAATATACTTATGGCGCGTGATATAGGGGTAGCAGATATATATATATCGAAGCAGATTTGATCCAGTTACGGGAAACACATACGAGGGGTGATCAATAAGTAATGATAATCAATATGAAACAGAACTATTAGATTAAAAAAAGTATTTTATTTTTCAACATAGTCTCCTTGCAAGTTAATACATTTAGTGTATCTTTTTTCTAAGCCCATGATTCCCTTAGAAAAAAATTCTTTGTCTTGACCCTCCCAAAATGCCTCTACTGCGGCCATCACTTCACTATTGTCCTCAAATTTGTTGCCCCGGAGGTGTTCTTTGAGCCGAGGAAAGAGGTAGAAGTCACTGGGAGCTAGATCTGGCGAATAGGGAGGGTGTTCGAGCAGTTCGAACCCCGTTTCTTCAATGGCAGCCATCGCAACTGCGGCTTTGTGAGCCGGGGCGTTGTCTTGGTGAAACAGCACTCCAGCGCGCAGTTTACCGCGTCTTTTTGACTTAATAGCTTCTCGCAATCTTCTTATTTGGCCTGCGTAGTAAGAGCCTGTTATAGTGGCCCCCTTTTCCAAATATTCCACCATAATAATTCCTTCTGCATCCCAGAAAACAGACGCCATAACCTTTCCCGCTGAACTTGACACTTTGAATTTCTTCGGCGTTGGTGAGGAAGCTCGTTTCCAAGTCATTGATTGTTGTTTGGTTTCGGGATCAAAGTGGTGGATCCAGGTCTCGTCCATGGTCACAAAACGCGACAAAAAAAAATCTTTATCGGCCTGGAACTTTTGAAGATTCACCCTCGAAATGTCGACTCGTTTCTTTTTTTGCTCGTCGGTTAACATTCTCGGTACCCAACGCGCAGAGACCTTTTTCATATGCATTTTGTTGACAATGATTTTTTGAACGCTGCCATAGGAGATCCCTGTGACCTCAGCTACATGCCTTACGGTCACCCTTCGATCGGCCAACACGATATCTTCCACTTTTTTGACGTTTTCTCCAGTAAGGGACGTGGCGTCCCTCGCGATGTTCATCTTCAGTGGAGGTTCTGCCCAGCTTAAATTCCTTTGCCCAGCGTGCGACTGTGGAATATGGAGGAGCAGACTCCCCCAATGTTTCCTCTAAGTCGCTGTGTATGTCTTTGGTAGACATTTTTTTCAGGCAGAGGTACTTGATGACAGCTATTATTTCATTTTTCTCCATTTTGATGTTTTCTCTTCGACAGTTCGTATTCAAATGAATGTATCTCCCGGTAATGGTGTCCTATTTATACATTTTTTTGAAGCTGAAGTAGTGGATATATAAGCAAGCAGAAAAAAAATAATTTGGTTTTTTGTGCGTTCTAGAAATACTCGATTATCATTACTTATTGATCACCCCTCGTATACCACCGCACGAGTTCTTCCGTAAAATCAAATAGCGCGCATTTCCCGCGTAGTTTCCTGTTACACTCTTCAAAAAGCGAGTATAAACACATCAAAAATTACATTAGCGGTTACTGTTTAAGAAAGTCTTGATTTTGCACGCGGCTTTATATGTATTATCCATCTCTCGGAAACAATACTATGACTAGTGGCTTGACAGATTTATGTATGACACATGACAGATTTATGCGTACCATTGACAGTTGGGGATCCATAAACGCCGCCGGGCCATTCTGTGGTGACAGTGTATTGGTGATGTCTGTACTCGTGCTTTCTGTACAACACAACTGATGTGCCTTTGGGAGCGAAACCGTACTGTAAATAATAAAGTAACCATTACATATATTTAACAGAAATAGATGGGGAAATGAGAGAGAGGGAGGATTATCGTAGGAGAGCCAGGCACATATTGGCCAGATTCGACCTGAGTGATACCTAGGCTTCACAGAAAAACCAGTGTTAAGTAGTACAAGTGACTTACGAGTCGCAGGTGTTCATGGGCGGCGGTAAACCATCAGGTGACCTGTGCCCCCCTATACGATAATAAAAATGCTGCGTATGTATGGTGACGGATTCAGAATACAGAGTGTCACCACCCTTATTCATCCCGTAGGTGGCGTAAGAACCTACTAAGGGGGCAAACTACGCAAAACGCACTGCAAAGAGAAGGAAAACTTGACGCAAACCCTCTACCAACTTGTCTGGCCAGTGTGGTACAGTAGGCCAAAACGTACTTTCTAGGGAGAGGGCTTTGTCCAGCAGTGGACTAATAAAGGCTGTTGATGATGATGATACCATAAAAAACAATACCTGTAAATTAAATTGACTATCTTCGGCAGGTCTGGACCGCCTAAAGAAAGTAGTAGCAATAACTCACCTTGTGAGTATCAGCCGACATGCTGGCGACTCCGGGTAGTCTAAAGTCAAAGACAGGAATCTGATGGCCAGCGTCGGGCATGAAGGCGGCCACGAACCCGCCCAGGCACGCGTCCACGTGCAATGGCACGTCGTACTCCACCGCCACGTCCGACAGCGCGATGATATCGTCCATCGTGCCGTACGGGAAGTTTGGGGCTGAGCCTACAATCTATTGGCACGGTGGTCATATTACTCTTTAAGAAGAATTGGATCAGGGTCAAGGATGATATGTTTTAAATTTAATAAGTAAACTCCTACGCTTCGAAGAAGTGTAGCGGGATTCTCTTTGAACATAAAAAATAATATATTCTATGAAATAATACTGAAATTCTAGTTCTGCGATACAACTTAACAAGCGGTTGCAAATCAGAATTGTTAGTTATTATTGTGTCAATTAACCTAAGTTTTGTCTATTTCGTATGTATAAATCGGTGTACTGATCTAGTCCCAAACCCCGTCATAGCAATTTGTAAATTAATAGGCGAACGCGCGCTAGCTCCATTTCAGTATTCTTGAAATTACACTTAAATTTATTTATCTTTCGTAGACTTCTAATACATTTTTTTTAATTAGTAATAAAAAATATTCATAATATAGTCTGAAATAAAAAGGTCTGAAGTTTTGAATCGTATTAACAGTAATGCGATTCAAAACTTCAGACCTTTTCATTTTAATAATCCTACAGCGATTTTTGGAACTACCTACTTGTTATTACAAAAAAATGGAGTTGGCTGGCTTGCCATATAAAAATATGCCGTAGTACGCTCTGTATGTAGTTCTCAAGACAGACAACTTTATTCGCAAGATATACTTGCGGTGGGACAATACCAATAGGTTTATTTCAGGAAGATATTATTAAAGACTCACCAAACAAGTCCTCCTGCCAATAGCCTTCCTCATTTTATCCACATCAACGGTCATGGTCTCAGGGTTAACTGGCACAGTTTTGACGGACAAGCCCAAGTACTGCGCTGCTTTGTCGAACGCCGAGTGTACCGTCGATGGTACGACTATCTGAGGGTTGGAGATACCCTTGGCATACGCCAGGTCTCTGAAGGCTTTGCAGGCCATGATTATTGACTCTGTACCGCCTGTTGTTACCTGTAATAGACATTATGGATATTTCATTTATGGACAGCTTCGTTGATTTATTTTGAACGTTGAATACCTATTTACAAATTGAAATTTTCTAGTCTTTTAATTAAGGCAGTTTTGAATGAGTGATAATGATTAAAAGCATATACTTTTTTAAATGAATCAAAAAATTGCAACATTTGTAGTTGATCTATAGTATATTTCATTTATATGCAAAATAAATGCTTTGTGGGCGATAATACAAGTGTCGTTATGGGGTCACCTATTCTTAGCCCAGTTAATCCTATAATAATTTATTAATTACATTAATTATGGCTCTGAAAGTTGGCCCATTAAGAGAACGGATGAGAGACGCCTGAACGTAGCCGAAATGCGAATGCTGAGATGGATGTGTGGTGTGACTCTGATGGACAAGGTTAGGAATGAGTATATACGAGGGAGTCTGAAAGTAGCGCCACTGGATGAAAAGTTAAGAAGTAATAGGTTATCTTGGTATGGACATGTCATGCGGAGGGATGAGGAAAATGTGGCGAAGAAAGTTTTAGGTATGAGAGTTGAAGGGTACAAGAGAAGAGGCAGACCGAAGAAGAGGTGGATGGACTGCGTCAGTGAGGATATGGCTAGGATGGGAGTAAACAGTGAGATGACGAATGACAGAGTAGAATGGAAAAATCATACATACTGCGCCGACCCCAAATAAAATTGGGAAAAGGGTAGGCAGATGATGATTAATTAATTATTAATAATATTATTTGCTGAGCTTTTGCGCAGAACTTTACAAGTACGATGTTCACATTTTCCAAATTTAATCAGGCAAGCGACCTTTTGATTTTCTCAGGGTCACAAAGTTTACCCTTTAAGAAGTCTACTCTAGGGCGAGTGTTTTGATAATAGGCACAAGACAGATAAATCTAAACCCCGATGGGACCTCCTGATAAGAATTTTAAATCCAGAGCAAAACGCGATAACAGAATAAACGTGACATAGATAAAGAGACTCGAGCGTGTTTTATAGACTAGTACAACACGTATTTAGTGGAAGTTTACTAATAATATAAAGTTAAATAATATTGTCAAGTCAAATTTCTAAGAAAATGCAATGTAATTAAATAAACACCAAAATGTAATGTAAATTCATTTATGAAATGCAATAGTTGACTACTCTAGTTTTGAAATAACTGCGGTATTTCCGGACCGATACGACCTTGAAACCTTCAAGAAAAGAGCGTACTACTTCCCAAGAAGCCGGCAACGTGTTTGTGACTCCTGAGTTGCAGACGTTCATGGGCGGCGATGGTCACTTTCACTCAGGTGACCCGTCTGCTCGTCTGCCCCCTCTAACATAAAAAAAAAAACAGAAAAAACAGTTCGTGTAGTTAGAACATTATCTTTAGTATCACTTAAGATAATTATAATTTGTATTCCAAGGTCAACGACTAATACCTACTCTTGAACGTTTATAACAAACTAACACATTTGTACACATACATTGTGTCTTGTTACGTGTATATACATGCAATCTTTGAATTCTTGCAATCTACATACATCATCGGCCAATGACAACGATATGCTGATATTTTTCAGACGTGTGTTACTTTTACCACATATAGGGGAAATAAGAACGTTTTGTATAATTAAGTATATATAGGTATTAAGAATTCGACTTTAATAAACTATACTTTGTTTATACAGGCTGACAGAATTGGTTTCCCGGGGGTCGACATAAACGAAAACTGATTTTGGGGGTCGACGAGGTCTAAAAATCGATAAGTTTTATTAATTAGCACAAGTTCTTATTTCAAAACTTGAAGTGGTGTTACGAATAGCAACTTGTTATAAGAATGACTAATAATTTAGTAGGAAGTATCAATGTTGTAGTTTTAAAAAACTCAATAGGTCGATAAGCGTGTAGTAATTTGGCTATGGGTGTCTGAGGTTCATTTAAGAAAAGTGGTCTCCCCAAAATAGTTTGGGAATCCCTGATATACAGAAATAAATAATGTTCTGGGTTTCTAAATAAGGTTATTATTTTTATTTAGGTTCTTAGACTGCTATAGACAGTTTTTCAAGATTGGATTGTTTTTTTTGGATTTGTATTTTTTCAAGATGAAATTCGCACTATGGATTCTCAAACAAAAATAGACAATCTTAGATTATTTTTTGTAAACACACATGTAGAGTATAACATGTTTCAGCCAAAACATTTTCAATAATTTGCACCGAGCACGAATCGAACCTGAGACTAGCGCCACGTGTGCTGTAAAACTATTATTAACTATATTCATCCGTTTCATCATTTAACCGTACATTGACCCAGTAAACATGTTTGTAGATATAAATACCAATAGCAGTTATTTACTTATGCTAATGAAGTGTAATGTATGTTTAAGTAGGCCTTTAACTTTGTTTGGCCTTATTACCATAATGTATGCTTCTATATTTAAGTAGGCCTCTATCTTTGTTTGGCCTTATTACCATAATGTATGCTTCTAAAACAGTGATCAGCCTAGACCCGCGAGGCTATGAAAGCATCATTATTACTAGAGTCTAAATAAGTTACGTAAAACTAAGACTTGACTTACTTATTACTACTAACTCCCAAGTTATTGTGTAAATTATTCTATCCCTCATTTTTATTTGTGAGAACATTTTTATTTTATAGTCCGTCAGTCGTACGAAGTACCTATAATTTTTATCACCTATTACTAGAGAACTTGAAACTAATAACGCAAAATGGTTTTGACACAAAATATTTTTTTAACGTATGAGTGAAGAAACAAAGTTTCGTGCGTTATTTATTAGTTTCAGTTTTTTTAGTAATAGTCCCATAAAATCACAGGTACTTCGCACTATTGACGAGGAATTTCATATGTCGTGAGTACTGGGCACTACTGGGTCGAACATAATATATTAGCCGCCGGTGTATCCAACAAAAATTTCAAGGAGATCAGGCAAACGGTACAGCAGCCCGGTAATCTTACTCATCCAGTGAAATGTACACAAAGAATTGCCTAATACCAGTGAAGCAGTTGTGTCACTTCAATCAGCGAAGTCATGGCTCTTCCACGCCTATTTAGCTTGTGGCGACTCCCAGATAGAAAGAAACAGAATCATACTACGTCGCCATCTAACGAAGACACACCGAACTACGGAGTAACTACTGAATGATAATTGCTAATCCTGTATCGCGATTTGAAGAATTCTCTCGCCAATTAGCATCATCAACCGTTGGCCGCGAAATATAAGCTTTCATTGTACCCCAAATCCCTTATATCTATACTAATTTTAACAAAAATTGAACTACATACTTGCTATTACAATTGTAAAACTCGTAAAACTATTAAAATGCGTAAACAAAAACAACCTTACATCAACTTAGGAACTATAAAAATACTCTTTAAAATTTAGATAAATATATATATGTTTTAAAATTATGCTTTGAGAGTCATAAAATATATCTGCATCTGGACTAGACTGAAGAAACTCAATCATAAGCCTAATTGCTATAGCAGTTGGGCTATTGTCAGCCTGGTAATCGAAAGATTACCATCGAAAGCGAACGTTTAATTTTTAACATAATAACGAATATAAACAGTAAATATAATAAGTGAAGTGTCAAGTCCAATGTGTGGTGTGAGTTTGTGAACATTGAGAACTATTGATAGCGTTGTATTCGAGTTTAGCCAAATGGATGAACGGTTGGGGTCGGCTTTTAGTCTGCAGCGACACGGCTGAACATCAATTTTTTATGTGGAGCAACTGCCATCAACAGAAAGGTCTATCTTTATCACCGTCCCTATTCATTCCGTGGAACTAATGGAGCAGACTACGCAGGACAACAGCACTGTAAACAGAAGGAAAACTTTAAATAAACCCTATCAACCCGTCAGGCCAGCGTGGTTATAGTAGGCCAAAACTTGTTTTCTGAAAAATGAAAATTTTTCAGTAAATTGATACCTGAACGTGATCATCAAGTGTTAGTGACTCATTATATACAGTACAATTGAAACTTTAAAAGTGAAACAATTTCGTGACCTAAGTACAATGTTCAGAAAGAAACAACGTCGTACAACTATATAATTAAAAAAATACACAGTGTCAATAGATTGTGCAATAAAACTACAAAATCTATAGTGAACGCGAAACACTGAAAAAAATTGTATAAAAATGGACAATAAAAAATACAAAATATAACAAAACTTTGCATGGTGATCTACGAAACCTTTGACAAAACAACTCAGTGACCAGTGACCAATAACCAACAAATAAGACAAAAAAGTGTATAATTACATAGTATTTAAGTCATTAACATAGTGACCTAAGTGTTCGACATTGCAAAAAATTCCAATTAGATGAGTCATTTCTAACCGTTCTCGTTCGTTCAAATACTCCATCTTTCCAATGTAATGCTTAATTTCACTTCATGTAGTCAATGCATGTTTGGATCAGCGGCGCCAAGTGTGGCATCAATATATCAAACAAGCGAACGCAAGATCGAACCCTGCCAAAATTAGTCTTTTTGTGATTTGAAAAACTTTCATAATTCTACTCTCTTAATTTCTGCAAGATTAAGTTCAATATTCTATAGAAAGTCACCAACAGTACAACAAGTATATAACGTCACAGCAAAGTCCACCACGACAACTTCAAATAAAAATGGACTTCAACAGCAGTAACATAACGTACCGTAATAAACCTTGTAGAACAAGCTCGTTAACCGACCTGTCTAAACTGACAACAATTAGCAGCGACAATACTATGTTAGATACTACGATAATGAGTGTTCCGGATAGTTTCCATGACACCACCGACGAAATTCGTGAGTTAACTAATGAAATAAAATCAATTAAACAGCAATTGTTAAGCGCACATCAAGAAATCGACAATTTAAACATAGAAAACCAGCGCCTTAAAACAGACTTACAAAATATGATTACGACCGTAAATACCTACAAGAAAATATGCTTAACGCCTGAAAAAAAGGATACAACACCAAAACGTAAAAGT